GCCTCGGCCTCCCAAAGTGCTGGGATTACAGGTGTGAGCCACCGAGCCTGGATCACACTTTTTTTTTTTGAGACAGGGCCTTGTTCTGTTGCCCAGGCTGGAGTGTTCCCTGCAGCCTCAGCTTCCCAGGTTTGAGTGATCCTCTCTCCTGAGCCTCCCAAGTACCTGGGACTGCAGGCATGTGGCCACTACACCTGGCTAATTTTGCATATATATGTGTGTGTGTGTGTGTGTATATATACATATATATATACCTATATATATATATATTTGAAATTGGTAGTGGGAATGGCTGTAGAACAATGTGAATGCCACTGAATTGCCCCCTTAAAATTGTTAAAATGGGCTAGGTGTGGTGGCTCACATATATACATATGTATCTCTCTCTCTCTGAAAAATATATATATCTCTATATATCTATATATTAGCATAATATATAATGCATATATATCTATATATTATATAATACATATATATGATTGATATATATGAGCTGGCAGAGACAGAGGCTTGGTTATATATACATATATAATATATATGTTATGTATATATTATATATGTTATATATGTATATATTATATAATATATACATAATATATATCTACGTAGATATATAGAGAAACATAGAGATATAGATATATAAATATATAGCTATATAGATATACACATATAGGGAGAGAGACAGAGGAGGTTTCACTAAGTTGCCCGGTCTGGTCTTGAGCTCCTGGGCTCAAGCAATCCACCTGCCTCGGCCTCCCAAAGTACTGGGATTATAGGGATGAGCCACTGTGGTCGGCAAGGAACACACTTGATCAGTAGCAGGCTCCACCGTGGTCTTCCACTGCCAATGAGCTTGGTGGAGATCACCTGTCAGGCCAGTGGAGGGAAAGGAGGAGACCTAAGGGCTCAACTTTTGGGGCCTCCAACATCAGGAGGGTAAGGACAGGTGGGGAAACGGAGGCCAGTGAGGAAGAAAGTAAGGCTCCAGAATCTAAGTGAAGAAAGTGTTTTTAAAAAGTGCCCCACTGTAGGAAATGCTAGTAGGACCATCCAGTAAGGTATGGGCTGAGCCCAGATGTGACGACATGACGTTTGGCGACATAATGTTGGAGCAGTTGGGATGGAACCCTAAGAACAGGAGGTGGACATGGGAGGAGCCCAGGCCAGGCCCTTCTGCGTCACTTGCCCTGAAAGTTGCAGAACAGGTGGGCATAACCAAAGAGGGCACGTGGAGCTGAGAAAGAACACGGCTCCTATCCTGATGGGACAGCCGAGTAAGCCGTGGGGCGCAGGACAAAGGGCGAACCATGTGTTCATGGCAGCAGGCAGGGCAGATGTTTAGGATGGGACGTTTAGTGGTGGGGGCGGGGAGGAGTCCTCTCCCATCTCTAAGTTCTCTGTAAAGTTGGACACAGAGTTAGCAGAGGGGAGGAGGCATGAGATCATCTTCCAGGATGGTGGAACCTGCACAGACCCGGAGGTGGAGCAGGCGGAGGGTTTTCAGGAGGACTAGGCTTCCCTAGAAACTGGTGTCCCCGAAGTAAGCAGCCAGCTGCAGCGGTGAGCTTCCCAGTAGCGGGGGGACGGGCGCTTAATTTCTCCAGGACAGGCAAGGGTGCGGTGTGGGAAAGGGGTCAGAGAGGAAGTGGGCATGGGGGAGGGCAGCCCCCAGGTGGCGGGCATGCTGAGACGTGGAGCTGGGACGCTAAAGGCAGGCAGCCTTGGAGCTTGAAGGCGGTGTTCGCGAGTGGGCTGCGGGGAAGTGGATTATAAATGGCGCGACCATGGGGCAGGCAGTGGGGGTGGCAGGTGGAGGCCTGGCTGATGGTGCTGCGGAGGCCACCCAGAAGGTCATGCCTGGGATTTTGTTAATAAAAACAGAGGAGGATAGAAATGTTGGGGCATTGCCCAAAATAAAAGTATGTATTAAATCATGAAACTTTTTGTTCATACAAATGTGTACTAGATCACAATGTAGACTTTCTTTTACTACTTTTATTGTGGTGAAATATACGTAACATAAAATTCACCATTTTAACTTTTTTTTTTTTTGAGACGGAGTCTCACTGTGTTGCCCAGGCTGGAGTGCAGTGGCTCCATCTCGGCTCACTGCAACCTCCACCTCTCCGGTTCAAGCGATTCTCTTGCCTCAGCCTCCGAAGTAGCTGGGACTACAGGTGCCCGCCACCACGCCTGGCTAATTTTTTTATACTTATTTTTAGTAGAGACGGGGGTTTCACCATGTTGGCCAGGCTTGTCTTGAACTCCTGACCTCAGGTGATCTACCCACTTCGGCCTCTCAAAGTGCTGGGATGACAGGCGTGAGCCACCACACCTGGCCCATTTTAACAATTTTATGGGGGCAATTCAGTGGCATTCACATTGTTGTACAGTCATTCCCACTGCACCAATTCCAATTTTTTTTTATCACCCCAAACAGAAACCTTGTACAGATGAAATGGGTCATGTGGTCATGTGGTCATAGTCTGCAGAAAGATGCTCAACACCCCTAATCACGAGGGAAGGGGAAACCAAACCCATCATGAATCCCAGTCTCACACGCACCAGGCTGGCCACTGTCAAAAAGCAGAAAATAACACTTGGTGAAGATGTGGTGAAACTGGAAGCCTCGTACACTGTTGGAGAGAATGTGAAATGGTGCAGCCGCATTGGGAAACAGTATGTAATTGCCTTAAAACAGTCAACATAGAACTAACATATGATCCAGCAATTTCACTTTTGGGTATATACCCCAAATAACTGAAACTAGGGGTTCCAATAGATGTTTGTACCGTCAAGTTCATAGTGGCATTATTTACAATAGCTAAAGTATGGAAGCAGCACCCCAGGTGTCCACTGACAGATGAACAGAGAAACAAAATATGTTATCTACATACAATGGAATATTAGCCTAAAAAAGGAAGGAAACTGTGACACGTGCTACACCAGAGATGAACCCTGAGGACATTATGCTAAGTGAAATGAGCCACAAAACTCACAATAAGACCCAAAAAGACAAATACTAGATGATTTCATCTATATGAGGTACCTAGAGTAGTCAAGCTCATAGGGACAGAAAGTAGATTGGGGGTGGTGAGGGGCATGGGGTAGAGGGAAATGGGGAGTCATTATTTAATGAGTCCAGGGCTTTACTTAGGCAAGATGAAAATGAGTTCTGGAGACGGATGATGATGATGGTTGCACAACATTATGAATGTATTTAATACCGCTGAACTGTACACTTTAAAATAGTTAAATGGGGCCGGGCGCGGTGGCTCACGCCTGTAATCCCAGTACTTTGGGAGGCCGAGGCGGGCGGATCACTTGAGGTCAGGAATTCGAGACCAGCCTGGCCAACATGGTGAAACCCCGTCTCTACTAAAAATACAAAAGTTCGCTGGGAGTGGTGGCGGGCGCCTGTAGTCTCAGCTACTCGGGAGGCTGAGGCAGGAGAATCGCTTGAACCGAGGAGGAGGAGGTTGCAGTGAGTCGAGATCGCACCACTGCACTCCAACCTGGGCGACTGAGCAAGACTCCCGTCTTAAAAAAAAAAAAAAAAAAAAAAAAGCAACATCTAGCCACAATCTGTTATGAGTCAGTTGCACATTTAGCGGCTTGAAGAGATCTTTATAAACACAGTGGGCTGCAGAAAACAAGAGAACACATCCAGAGGACGCTGATAACAATGTTATATACATTGTGACCTCAATAGTGGTTTTGTTGTTGTTGTTCAAGAGGAAGAGTCTCGCTCTGTCGCCCAGTCTGGAGTGCAGCAGCGCGATCACGGCTCACTGAAGCCTCGACCTCCTGGGCTCAAGTGATCCTCCCGCCTCAGCCTCCCAGGTAGCTGGGACTACAGGCATGCGCCACCACTAATTTCTTGATTTTTTTTTTTTTTTTTTTTGTACAGACAGGGTCTCACTATGTTGCCCAGGCTGGTCTTGAACTCCAGGGCTCAAATGATCCTCCTGCCTCGGCCTCCCAAAGTGCTGGGATTACAGGCGTGAGCCACTGCATCCAGCCTTCAAGTATATATATAGATACATATTTTTTTCAAATTTTATATATATATATATATATATATATATATATATATATAGAGTTTGTTTTTAAAAAGGGGATACGGAACCAAGAAAACAGTGACATTAGAGGCATGGGGGTGGCGCGGGCTGCCAGGGCGACGAGAGCACTACCCAGAGGAAGGGGCTTTCTGTCGGGTCTGACGCGGCACTCCCAGAGCAGAGCGAGGGGCCAGACGCAGACCCGTGGCGTCCTCCGTGGCGTGGGGGTCCTGGGGGGTTCGGTCCTTGGGTTCAGAGAGGGTGGTGGGGACGGGACAGCACGGACGACTGCACTCTGGGGACCCGGCCGCGGAGGGGTACGGCCAAGGCGGATGCTGGACCGGCGCACACGAGCTCGCCTCGGCCTCCACGTCCGCCCCGCGCGCCGCCTTCCGCCACCGACCCCCGAACGCGGCCGACCGCGCGGGCGGGCGGGACGTGCACGGCGCTGGCCGAGGAAGCTGCGACACAAGCTCGCCTCACGTCCCGGAGCTGCGGGCCCCGCACGCCCTTGGCCCATCCCCGCGAGCCGGAGGAGCGGGTGACCCGTGTTCTTCCCAGTGCGCGCGTGCACCACCGCCGGCCCCGCAGGCCGAGCCTCCCTGCCCGGCCAGCCTGCGCCCGCGCGCGGCGCTCCTCGCGGAATCCGCCCCCGCTTTCGCCCCGCCCCCCGCTGCCCCGCCCCCGCGGCCCTCGGCTCTTACAGGCTGGCTCCGAGGCCGCGCCCGGCGGGCCAGCCAATGGGAGTGCGGCGCGCCCCGCGGCACGTGCGCTCCAGCCGCTCCCGGCCGGGTGCGAGCTGGCGGAGCTCCTTGGCCTGGAGCGCGCGGGGCGGGGGCGCGCGGGGCAGGCGGGACGCGGGGCGGAACGGAGGCAGGATGGGGGCGGGGCGCTGGCGACAAGGCGCGCTGATTGGCCGGTGCCGCGCTCCGAGGCCGTTAACGGCGTCTGGGCCGGGCCACGGCTCCAAAACAAAGGGCAGGCGGCCCGCGGGGCGGCGGCGGGAGGATGCCTCGCGCCCTGCCTAGGCGCTAACGGCCTCAGCGCGTCCCGGGCCGCGCCGGGAACGCCTGAGAGCCGAGCCCGCGCTGACCGGGGCCCGGGCCGGATGGGCGCTGCGGGCCGGGGCGCGGACCGCGGAGCGGCCGTGAGTACGGGCGGGCCTGGCTGCAGCTGCGCGGGCGGTTACTTTGTGGCCACCCAAGGATACTGTGGCTGCGGGCGGGCCCGGGAAGCACCTGTTGGGCGTCCGGGCGGGCGGGGGTGCGAGCAGGGCGGGCCTGTGACTTTTTTGTTCCGTTTTGGATTTTGATTTGTTGATATTGGGCTCACTCCGTTTCGGCACAGACAACAACGCCTAATCTTTGATTCCCCCGCCGTTTCTTCTCTCCACCTTCCCCGCTGCCCCTCTTCTCCCGCCCTACCGTGAAAAGATACAGGGAAAATGGACAAGATCCCAGATTATTGGTTTTTCCTTCCTTAAAAAATACAGCCTCAACTGGGCAAGGAAATGAGGGCAAAAGAGGTCTCCTAGGAATGTTTATCAGAAAGGCGGAAAAGGTTTTCAAGTTGCCACATAAAGATCATGACTAAAATGGAGCGTCCTCCGTGTTTACCACTTGTGGCATAGGTTTCATTAACAGAGATTGCAAAAGCCTGAGCTTCAGAGAGCTAAACAGGGTCTGCCTCCCCCATGCTTGCCTCTGATTGACATCTTTGATGTCCAAATTATGTACTGAGTTATAAGGATGGGAAAAAGACTGAGATTCTATTTTTGGCAGATAATGAACATGGAAGACATCAATTTCCCCGCCCCACGCTTTTTCTGTTCCGTTGCATTTCTTCTTCCTCTAAAACATACCCACCTTAACCTGATGTTTCCTTTGCTAAGAACGTTATTCTTCCCACCCACCAGCCCCTGACACTCCTGAATCCCTACCCAGCTCCCAAGGCTAGGTTTGCCACCCCTGGGGAGCCTTTCCACGCACGTCACCCGAGCAAGGTATAGATGTGACAAATGTTTGCTGAGCATCCCCCAGGTGCCAGGAGCTGTGCTTAATCCTGGTGTCATTAAGTCTTATAATCATGCACTGATCCCCCTCAGGTGTGGGCTCTTGGGAGGCAGTGGTAGTGGCATGTTTGAGGAATAAGGATCTCCAGGACCTTCATGGTCCCTCCTCTTGGGCCCTACAGGGTAGAATGTCATCTACTTGTGGGAACCCCTAAGGGCTGGGCCCGTATTGAACATTTATATAATAACTGAGCCCTCTTAATTACCAAGCCGAGCAATAGTCTTCTTTTAAAAATAACTTCTTATTTTGGAAAAACTGTAAATGTACATAAAGGTTGCAGAGCTACTACAGACAATCCCAATATACCCTACACCCAGTGCTCCCCATCATTACCATCCTGCACTGCTGTGGTGAAAAACTGACCTGGGTGTATTCTTCTCACTAAACTCTGGGTATTAAGCCTTTTCACTTTTGAATCACTAATTTATAAAGCCATTTCTCTTTTTGTGTGTTTGTTTAAGACAGGGTCTCACTCTTGCTCAGGACAGTGGCACAGACACGGCTCACTGCAACCTCCACATCCTGAGCCCAAGTGATCCTCTTGCCTCAGCCTCCCATGTAGCTAGGACTACAGGTGCACACCATCATGACTAGTTAACTTTAAAATTTTTTGTAGAGACCGGGATCTCACTTAATGTTTCCCAGGCTGGTCTTGAACTCCTGGGCTCAAGTGATCCACCCGCCTCAGCCTCCTAAAGTGTTGGGATTACAGGCTTGAGCTGCTATACCTCACCATAAAGCTATTTTCTTTAGATTGAGAGTAGTATTCCTCTAACATCTGTTCTTGATTCTTGCCTGTCTTCACTAAGTACTACCAGCACCTGTGTCAAGGGGCAGGGATGCAGGCAAACGGAAAGAGGCTACCCTATAGGTTTTTTCTTTTTTCTTTTCTTTTTTGTTGGTTTGTTTTGGTTTATTTCAACAAACAAATTGGTTTTTTTGAGACAAGGTCTCATTCTGTCCCCCAGGCTGGAGTATAATGGCACAGACTCCACTCACTGCAGCCTCAACCTCCTAGGTTCAAGCCATCCACCCGCCTTCTGAGTGACCACAGGCATACACCACCATACCCAGCTAATTTTTTAATTTTTTTTGTAGAGACAAGATCTCACTCTGTTGCCCAGGCTGGTCTCAAACTCCTGGCCTCAAGTGATCCTCCCCTCTCAGCCTCCCAATGTGCTGGGATTTATAGGTGTGAGCCCAGCCTACCCTGTAGTTTTGTTGTTGTTGTTGTTGTTGTTCGTGTGGTTGTTTGTTTTTGTTTTGTTTTGTTTTTCAGACAGAGTCTCACTCTGTCGCCAGGCTGGAGTGCAGTGGCGTGATCTTGGCTCAGTGCAGCCTCCATGTCCCGGGTTCAAGCGATTCTTCTGTCTCAGCCTCCTGAGTAGATGGTACTACAGGCACGGGCCACCACGCCCAGCTAATTTTTGTATTTTTAAAAGAGTTTCACCAGGTTGGCCAGATGATCTCAATCTCTCAACCTCAAGTGATCGGCCCGCCTCGGCCTCCCAAAGTGCTGGGATTACAGGTGTGAGCCACGACGCCTGACCAACCCTGTAGTTTTAATGTATTTGTCTCCATGGAAGACTAATAAACAAAATTGTTTTGAATATGAAGAAGCAATAGAAGCCCCCCTGCTTTCCAACTGTTCTCTGATGCTCTTCATTAGAGTTAAATGAAGTTGTGTAAAAGGTTTTAAGTAGTTGGATCTAATAATCAGTGAAACCTCTAGGGAGTGGGAATTTTGACAAGGGATTTGAGCGGAGGTTGAAGAAAGTTCTCAATAGCCAAGACATAGGGGGCTAAGGGTTTTTGGAGCAAGTAGTGTGAGATAGATTCAGGAAAGAAGTCAAGAGGATGAAATTGATTCCGCCAGCAAGTGCCAGGACATTACACCTGTTATACAGATGCTGAGTACTAAAAACCTGTTGGCGGGTGAGAGTAAAATGGAAATCCTGGAGCCAGCCACTGTTGCCCACACCCCAGGAAGGGGTTAGGAACCGTTATTCACCCCATTGCTCAGCAGGCCCTCTGGCACCTGCAGGGTCTTGGGCCAGGGCCAGGATTCCTGGTGGGGCTTGTGAGGGGCTTGCTGAGCCCCTGCCGTACTGTAACAGTGAGATGCTCCTGCTCTGAGACCCTGGTCAGACACCTAAACTGTGCCCAAGGATCATCCCCCTTAACACCTCATGTACTCTGACTGCCCTGTAAATTGCATGTGACCCCACTTTACAAAGAAGGTAGCAGAACTTGGCTTCAGGTCCCAGAGCCAACAAACACGTGGCACATTTTGCATCAAACCCTGGGAAGCCTCTCAAAGCAAGTCAAACCCTCTTTCATCTTTGTCCTGGGGGTGATGACATCCCTGTTGCCAAACCTCACCTACTCCCTCCCTCCTGGTGCCACCTGCCTTCTCAGCAGCATTGGCATACACCCCTGCCACCCAAACGCTTCCCCCTCACCTGGTTCCTCTTTGTGCATCTGTTTTTGTTTTTGTTTTTGTTTTCTTCTCTTGCCCCAAGACGGGAGGCTTGAATGTTTGATGAGACTTTATTTAGCATGAGGGTAAAGAAAATAGATTCTCAACCTCTTTTCATCTGTCTCAATCCAGTCTTCTGGGTCTGGTGTCCACTCTTTCAACCTAACAACGCTAGTGTTGCACATAGTTCCTACACCTCCCTTTTCTTCTTCTTCTTCTTCTTCTTCTTTTTTTTTTTTTTTTTTTTTTTCCTGAGACGGAGTCTCGCTCTGTCGCCCAGGCTGGAGTGCAGTGGTGCAATCTTGGCCTCCCAAAGTGCTGGGGTTACAGGCGTGAGCTACCGCGCCCGGCCCCCTTTTCTTGTCTTTTCTTTTTCTTTCTTTCCCTTTCTCTCTCTCTCTCTTTATTTCTCTTTCTTTCTCTTTCTTTTGACACAGGGTCTGTCTCTGTCATCCAGGCTGGAGTGCAGTGGCGATCACCTCAGCCTCCCGAGTTGCTGGGACTACAGGCATGTGCCACCACACCTGGTTAATTTTTAAATTTTTTTGTAGAGACGGTTTCTGCCATGTTGCCCAGGCTGGTCTCGAACTCCTGACCTCAGGTGATCCTCCCACCTTGGCCTGTTAAAGTGCTGGAATTACAGGCATGAGTCACCACTCACAGCCCAGTCTTCTTGTTGTTAGCAAGAAAGCACACCTACTAGGATGTGTCTGAGGACCTTGGTTATGGGAAACTTTGTTACTAATGGTAGAAAAAAAAAAAAAGGAATGTAGTACAGGTTCTTTGAAAACAAGCGCTCAATACAAATACATTATCAGTAGTCTCAGGAGAGGTGGTAGAGGTAGTGCTTGAGCACAAGTGGGAGGAGAGATGGAGGAGAGAGTCTGGAGGGCTGAGGCACCCGGGGCCACTGGGCAATGGAGGAAGTTAAGCCCCTTGAGTTCCCCAGAGAGCGGGACTGGTGGGGAGTCTAGAGGGCCGTGGAGCTTTGTCTCAGGGCAGCCATAAAGGTGGTTTGATGCTGTCGGTGGGCCCCATTGTGCACCTAGGCTGCAGTTCCTGAAATGTGGACGGGAGCTTTTCCTCCTGTAATTCAAGTAGGGAGGAAGTGGACGTGTGTAGAGGGAAGCTAGAATTGCCACAGGCAAATTGTACCCACACTGTTGCCCTTTGTTGTAAATTTTTCCAGACCCTTCCACACCTTTGACTTCATGTACTATGTGTGAGTTTGAATAGTCAGAGTGGGCCGGACGCCGTGGCTCACGCCTGTAATCCCAACACTTTGGGAGGCCAAGGAGGGTGGATCACTTGCAGTCAGGAGTTCAAGGCCAGCCTGGCCAACATGGTGAAACCCCATCTCTACTAAAAATACAAACTTAGCCAGGCATGGTGGCAGGTGCCTGTAGTCCCAGCTATTTGGGAGGCTGAGGCACAAGAATTGCTTGAATCCAGGAGGCAGAGGCTGCAGTGAGCCAAGATCGTGCAACTGCACTCCAGCCTGGGAGACAGAGCGAGACTCCAGAAGCCCCATGATGGAAATGTCTCTGATGCATGTTTATCAGTGCATTTGGCCAGTCTCTTTTGGTTAAACTTTGT